TTATACCACACTGCATTTTTTCCCCTGACCACAATTTTAAGATACTTTAATTTTATGTTATGGAAATGTTATATGCTATTGATTTGGTTATTTAAATTGTATTTTGCATCCTTTCTGGGCTACCAGAATTACAATGAAAAGAAAGCATAAATACTATAAATAAGTACATTCCATTTCTGGGTAGGCTTCCAATCTCTTCTTGTTTTGAGTACTAGAACCAGTTTTGCCCACATATTTTAAGATTGATTTTGATAAAATTAACATGTTCTGAAAAGGATGTATAGCATGGTGAAGAATCTACACCAAGCAGGATTTTAGGGAAGAACCTGGATAGGATGTCTGGATGACTGAAGAGCAGTATCTGTAATGCATTGTGCTATCCATGGGGGAAGCTTCAATCTTAAAGTTGCAGCTGCTAGTTTGATTTTTTCACACTCCCTTCCCCATGAATAACCCTGGGGCTGAGCATGGTTAACAAGCAGAAAAGTAACTTAAGGGGAGATATAGTAGCTGCCATCAAATATCTGAAGGGCTGCTACAGAACAAGGAAACTGTTCTTAATTGCTTCAAAGTATAAGAATAGAAGAATTGAAAGAGAACAAATTTCAATGATGGGGTGGAGGAAGCTCACAAGGCCAGAAACAATAATATTGTCTGCTAGAATACCAGGGAAGTAGAAAATGTCTTTGCTTTGACAAGTGGATGAGATGATAGCAAGTCTTTATAGTCTTTAAATAATAACGCTTTTTTGGAAAAGTTTTTGTAAGTGTACTCATTTTGGCTGGCAAATATTATTTTGTTAAAATTTAGCACGTTCCAAACACTTGACGGACAATTGTTCAAAGAGTTCAAACAGACAATAATTTAAAGAATTCAATGGCATTTATTTTTAGTGAAGGATATAGAGTATTGAAATCATACCCTCTAAACCTAACTGAAATTATATTATCAGTCTGTTTCTATAGGGTTCCTATGTTGTTATGCTGCTTTTAAACCAAAGTAGTTCTTTTAGTATGAGTAGTCAGCTTCAATTTTAAATCTTTGAGTATAAATGGAAAAGCAGCTTAGTAGAAGAAACAGATACCATCCTTGCATCCAAATACTCATTCAGAGTGTGAAAAAATGAATACACTTCATTTGCCCTCTTTTACAAAGTTGATTGGCTGCATTGCATGGCACATCACTGTATTCACTATGTGATCCCTAATTGCTTGATACCTTGGAATAAAATAGAAAGATCTGAACGCTACATGTGGAACCAGCAGGAAAGCTACTTGTAAGAAGCATGAAAAAAGTGATTTGTCACAAAGATAAGATTAATCCACTGTACTAACAGGATTAATAAAACTCTGCAAGGAGCATGCATGCTCCCACTGTTGATCTAATACAGTGGTTCTCAACCTTTTTAATGCCGCGACCCCCAACTGGTCGTAAATCGAGGACTACTCAACCAGTCGTAAGTCGAGGACTACTCAAGTGGTGCAGCAACGTTTGCAGAATGGGACTTTTGGCGGGCTCTACAGGGCAGAGACAGCCTGGACAATTCCTATTGGCTTTTGAAAGCCAATAGAATTAGACTCTATTCAAGAGAGTCTATTCTATTGGCTTTCAAAAGCCAATAGAATAAAAGGGAGTAGCACTGCTAAGGAAAAGGGGGGAAAAATGGCGGACTGCGTTGTTTGGCGACCCCCGTGAAATGGTCGTTCGACCCCAAATGGGGTCCTGACCCACAGGTTGAGAACCATTGATCTAATAGATTACTTAAATTTATACAGGGACATTTCACTACCTCTCTGTCGTACACATTACTATCTGAATTAGTCCATAGACATGAAAGATTGGAGGACTATTTCTGAAAATTTTGTTATACCTCATCCTATGATTTTATCCGGTTCCATTTAGAATCAGACTTTTCTCCAAGTTCTCCTTGGACAATGAATCAAGTTCTAAGACCTTAGGTAGCACCTGATCCCGCTCTTACTTTTGATGTCTTCGTCTTTCCTGAATGAATTATTTCATTCATATTTCACCTTTCTATTCAAATAACTAATGATGCCTAACAATATAAACTCATAGAATGTAAGGATGGGAAGGTATTTTGGAGATCATCTTAGCAACCCCCTGTTCAGGGCAGCAACCCAACTATTCTAGCATGTCTGACAGGTGGCTAATCCAACTGCTAAATACGTCTATTGAAGGAGAGTTCACAACTTACCAAGATGGTCTGTTTCACTGTTGAACAGCTCTTAGCATTGCCATTTTTTTTCTTGACATTGAAGTAAAACCTACAATATTCCTTTTTAGTTTACATCCATTCTTTCTTGTCCTGCTTTCTGGAACAACTCTGAATATTCTAATTCTGCTCCATCTTCTAGAAGACAGCCTTCCAATATATGTTGACCATTATGTCCCAGTGCAATCTTCTTTTGTCCAAAATAAACAAACCAGATGCCTCCAATCATTCCTCATATGGTTTTCCTTCCAAGCTCTTATCTTCTGGGTTGTTATACGTCACACATGCTCCAGTAGCTTGATGTCTAGAACTTGGTTGCAGTATTTTAAATGGAGTCTAACCAATGTACAATCGAGAGGAAAAATAACTTTCATCCTGATTCCATACTTTGTTCATAACGGCTGAGATTGTACTTGTTGGTTTGCTTGTTTTTACAGCTCTATCATACTATTGGTTTATGTACAATGTGTGATCCACCAAGTAACATACCGGGCTTTGGTTTGGCTCCGAGTTTGCGGTCTAGCTCTGTGTTCATGGCGTGTGTCCGTTTGCTTTGTGTGGGGGTCAGAAGGAGGTGCAGCAGCTGGTGATGTCATCATGGTTTGGCTTCTGGATGGTGGTTGCATTTTGTCTGAGGGATGGGTTTGGGCTTGGGTTTGGGTCTGGTACTGGTGAATGGTGGTGGCGTACTGTGTTGTTTTGGGTCCAGTGTCAGTTTTCATGGCTAGGACTCGTTTGTTGATTAGGGCTAGTTTCCAGATGTCTGGTAGGCGGGAGGTATCGTCACGTTTATTCATGTTGTGGGGGTGTTTTTCTATTTCGATGGCTTCCATAATTATTCTCTTGTTGTGGTGTTCAGTTTTGGAGATTAGTTTGGTTCCTTCAAAATCAATTTCATGTCCTGTAGCTTTAAGGTGCTGGAAGAGGGAGGAAGTTTTTTCTTCTTTTCTGACTGCGTTCTTGTGTTCTGAGATGCATGCATTTATTCTCCTATTAGTTTGTTCAATGTATGTGGCTGGGCAGATTTTGCAAAGCTTGGTATGTTACTTCACAGCCTTCAGCCCTGGACATCACATCACAGAACTCAGGAGGCTACAACGCCAAAGCTCAGGATATTACAACACAGCCAACCACACAGGATGGTGCAACACAGAACTCAGGATATCACTACACTAGATCTCAGGATGTCATCACACAACCCATTAACCAGGTCGTTACAACACAAAAGGCTAATGGGCACACAGCCAGCACGTCAACTACTCAGGATGTTATGAAACAGCCAAACAATCTACAAACAATAACTCCTACACAGCCAACCTATCCACCTACAGCAACTAAGCCAGCATGGGAAAAGACCCAATGCACCAAGATCTGCATATATATATATATATATATATATATACAGCCAAGCTCTCACCCAATCAGTTCATACCCCCACTGGCAGTTAAAAGGAAGAAACAGCTACGATCACACATTGCTCCTAGAAGCACGAAGCCGAAGACAAATGAGACTTCGTCGAAACATTGCCAAGACACTTCGAATTTGACGCGGGAGAAAACCCGAATAACCAAAGACATATATATATATATATATACTTTTTACAATCTCTTTTGCCTTGCAGCACCCCAACTAGGGGCATTAAGCAGGGTCAAGTTGCAACTGCGAAACATTTACAAATCCAAATTTCTTTTTCTGACAAAGAGTTAAAGAATTAAATTGGGAGACTAAGATGGCCATTTCAAGCTCATTCTGCTCTCTTCAGTTAGTCATACCCTTTAATGAGCTCGAAATGGCCATCTTAGTCTCCCAATTTAATTCTTTAACTCTTTGTCAGAAAAAGAAATTTGTATGTGTGTGTGTGTGTGTGTATATATATATATATATATATATATATATATATATATATATATATATGTGTGTAGGTCTTGGTACATTTGGGTCTTATAAAGCAACAGAAATACATAGTTGGAAAGCGACAGTCAGCTTATGTATATGTCAGTATATGCCAGTATACGTACAGACTGGAGCAACCTTATTGCCATTGTTAGGTATGATCATTTTATTGCTATGTATGATGATCAATATATTCTAGGTATGATCAATATATTTTCCCCAATGGTGGCAAGGTCTCAGCTTCTGTAGTCGCTTCCAGATCTCAGCTTCCCTCTTTGCAATCTTTTTGTTGTTGTTGCTTTAAAATATGCTCTGCACTCTCTTTGTCATGATGGTAAATTAGTGACACTCCTATTTACACCAACATGAAAGAAACTTGAAGACCCTAAATCATAGCTAAGTGCAGCATATCTGCCTATAGATGCATTTTTCCTAGGAAATGGAGGTGACAGGATGATTATTATTGCCAGGCGCGTGTCTTACGTTGCTATTTATGCAGAAAAGCATGCAATTTTTCTAATTCTTTTCTGGCTCCAAGCATGCCTCCTGCTGGGTCCTGCTGCTTGTCGTCTTCCTACTTGAACATGTGCCAAATCTTTAATAACCAGTGGTGATCTCAACCTCTTCTTATAATAATTACTGTAATTACTGCCTTAATTCATAATCTATTCTAAAGGGTCTTGCGGTGGGACTCCAAGCATTGTGGTCTTCAGCACTAGATCGGCGGACAGCTCCTTCCTGTAGCACAAAAAAAAAAAAAAAAAAAAAGACAGGAAAGCTGCTAAGCTCTCTTCCCAAGGTAGATCCCACGGAGATCCGGGAAGCCGTGGGGTGCGCGAGCAAGCCCCTTAGCGCATGACGCGGAGTTAATTAGCCACTTGCAAACTTCTCGCGTTGGACCAGTAGACTTTGCGCAGCATCTCGTCGTTCTCAAAACCAACTCTGTGATTTTAAACGGCGGAGATCCTCCCACTTAGAGGCGGGGAGTGGGTGTTCTCAGGGCCTCGGGAGCGCTCATAAAACCCCACCTCTCGTTTTAGGACTGCAGCTGCAATTGGCTAGATGAGGAGGTACTGGAAGAGATGTTAAGCTGGCTGCTTCCACCCATGGCTCTGCACACACACAGGGGCGGGTTGTGCCGGGGACAGCGGGAGGCTGGGCTCCGAGGCGGCGGAGGCGGTGGAGGAGGAGAAAGCGGTGGTGGAGCCGATGTTTCCCCAGCCTGCTTGCCTACTTCGGTGACCGAGCCGCTCCTGCTGCTGGGTTGCTGCCTGCGGCCGAAGGATCGGTCCGAGCGAGGGCGGCTGTTGACGCCGCCGGTGGAGATGATGGCGGAGGGCGGCGGCGGCGGCGGCGGCGGCGGGCAGCGGCTCAAGGCGCTGTCCCTGCTAGAGGCAGCCCGCTGCCGCTATGAAAGCCTGCAGATTTCCGACGATGTCTTCGGGGAATCGGGCCAGGACAGCAGCGGCAACCCATTTTACAGCACCACCGCGGAGTCGCGCTCTGCCTCCGAGGAGGAAGACGAGGAGGAGGAGGAGGAGGAGGAGGAGGAAGAGGGCGAAACCCCCGAGGGTGGACGCGGCCATCGGGGCAGGACTGGAGGACGCCAAGGCTCCAAGGCGTCGGCAGCGAAAGAGCAGGAGGAAGAGCAGCAGCAAGTGCAAGGTGGCTTGGAGGCGAGTTTCCTGGGTCCCGCGGAGCAACAGCGGCGGGAGGAGGAGGAGGAGGAAGGCGAGAGGGGCTGGAGCCAGAGCCTGCGGAACACCCCGACCCCTTCTTTCAAGGATAGCAGCGGTAAATCGACTCGCGTCTTGGCATGACTTGGCGGGTGACTCAGGATGTGTGGGTCTCTTGTGCGTGTGCTGCAGAAGTAGGGCTCCCGTTCTGGCGGAGTGTGGGAGAAAGTGGGGTTGACGAGGCAGTGAAGGTCGCCAGCCCCCGACCCCCAACCCAATAATTCGAAAGCATCCAGAACTCCACCTTAGGGGAGAATCTTTGGGGTTAGGAAAGCCGCCCGGACTCAATACTGGGATAGACTGCTTCTTCCCATTGGGTTATAAGAAGCAGTCTGTTCCTTAAATCAGTTTCCCTCACTCCCGTCTCTTCCAAATGCTTTGGACTCCAACTACCATCACTCTTGGCTCAGTAATCAAGAGTCGTGGTGGCTGACCATTAGTAAGAGTCATTTAGCTCAGCTGGAAGGGGGGGAGGGTGATGGCTGCCTTAAAGGGTTGCATTTACTTTATTTCCACAGAAGTGTAGCTAGCTTTGGTGACCTTCTGTTGCATTGGAGTGATTGTGATGCCTCTGCTCTTTTTCTGCAAGTGGAAAGAATCAAGAAGGGGGGTTTGTGGAAAAGCACCGCTGTGTTGGAAAAACAGGGTCCTTAGTTGTAGTCCCTCAGGGCAAGATTCCCTTATGGTAGAAAATTGTGCAGGTGCCAATGCCAATTACTGAATTTGTATTACTGAAATTTTATTAGTGAAATTTCAAGTCCATGTGAATACAATTCAGTGATATAAAATGGAGAAGTTAGAAATAATCTATGCCTCCAGATCTACTTGGAGGGCAGATCCTCAAAGTAGTTACAAATATATAATGGAATAGATTCTGAAATGCAAAAATCCTGGGCTACTGAGCTGCCTGGTTTATTATTTTTAAAAGTGCCTTGGAGTGTGACACTATAGGTAAAGGATAGCCATCTACTATAACTGCCTTCACCCTGACATATGTTGGGGCGGCTGGACTTCTGCTAACTGTTGTCCAAAATATATTTCAAATAATTTGCATCTTCCAAGTAATATGAACTGTGTGGTAGATAGGACGTTCTTACAGTAAGTATCTGGCTATTCAGCTGCTGGGCTGTGCCAGCTAATTTTAAAGAATTGGGCACTAACCAACCACAAACATCTGAGTATCTTCTGATAATCTGATTTTGGATCTCCAGAATGAGAGGCTAGCTCTGAATATCTAATGCACTCTAGTTTGCTGAACAAATTCTTTATTTTTTTGTAATTAACCCTTTGAGAGCTGGGGTGAGGAAAACAACTGCAAGTAGCTTTTTAGCTTTAGTTTTCTTTGGTTTCGTTTTAATATTGTCAATCTTGAAAGGCTTGCCTTTGGGAAACAGTTGCAGAAACTGAAGTGAATCACTTTTTCTTAGTAGAGTCAACATGCAAGTAAAGCAGGGATATGTTTGAGAGTAAGGAGTTGTTGCTCATTGCTTTTGACAATTAGGGGTTAAGTTCCACAATTGAATGTTCCTTATTTAGTTGCCAGGAAGATACAAGATGGTCATATAATATATGGCAGAGAGCCAGCTTTTTAAACATCCTATCATGATCTGGTTTTCCTCCAAAACAAGCACATTGAGCCAAGAGTCATTGAATAATGAATTATGAGTTATAAACATGCATGCATGAATCAGCCATAAGGATAATTATGAAAAGTAGAACACATAATGCATTTTGCAATATTGCACAAATTGTAGATCTTGGTTACTTTCAACTTGGCTGTATGTAAAAAAAAATCACTGAATTAATGTATGTAGCTTGTTGGCCATCTATATCAGATGAGACTTCCAAAGACACCAGTTATGAAAATCAGTTTGATCAGAAACCTATGCACAATGCTTGACTGGGTCTAACAAATATGACATCTTGTACATGTGCAAGGCCAGATGTGACTGGAAGGTGATAGTTTGGGTGAGTGACAATTTTATTTTTGTATTTTGCCTTTTGCATAATGCAGAATGCCCTAATTATGCCAAACATTCATTCTGCTCAGTTATAGATAGTGAAGACTTTTGGATAGAAGATGATAAAAACAAGTAAAACAAAGCCTCTTTTGACTCCTGACGATTTAATGAACAGATCTGTGGTTTCCTAGCCAACTAGGTGATTTATTATTGCTTTCTTCTGCAAGTTTTTCAAAGTTCTAAATCTAGTCAACAGATTTGGAAGACTTCATAGTCTCTCTTATCCTAGCACTAACCAGGCCCAAATTTGCTTAGCTTCCATCCCTAGACAAGTTTAACCGGGTGCTGCCACCTGCTGAGGTATACTAGGCAATAATTTTTTTAGAAATAAGCCTCTTTGGAATTGGTCTGGTACTTATTAAAATTCTGAAGGGGAATAAAGCTTTATTTTCAGAAAATTCTTTCCTAGCCTGGAATATTTTTCTCTGTTTTTAAAATAAAACATAAAAGTATGGGCAGCGGCCTCTCCAAATTTGGACAAAATTGCAAATCTGTCCAATAGTACAGAAAATATATAGAGCCACATTCCAGAGAAAGCTCCAGCTACCCTACCCTAACCCTCAGCCTGGGACAGGGGTAGGCAACCTTGGCTCTTTTATGACTCGTGGACTTCAACTCCCAGAATGGCTAGCTCAGGAATTCTGGGAGTTGAAGTCCACGAGTCATAAAAGAGCCAAGGTTGCCTACCCCTGGCCTGGGAGAGCAGTCAGGTTTTTAAGGCACCTGGGACACCATCAAGGAGGAAATCATTCAGATTTCTGAAGGACTCTCTTTCCAGAAGGCAAGCATCATGACAAGAAGGCATTTTTCCAGATTCCTGAAAGGTAACATAATTTAACTGAAGGGATTTGAAATGTGCCAAACCTGTTGGTTCATATTGGCCGAACAGATAAGGCAGCAGATACACGGTCCCTCAAATAACTGGGTCCTAGGTCATGTAGGGCTTTATAGATCACAACTAGAAGCAAATTGGAAATCAATGCATTCATAGAACACATGACACTTGGACATATTGAGGCATGCCCATCATTGTCTACACCTCTGCCTTCTGGACCAGCTAAAGTTCTTCAAGGGCAGCCCCATTGAAGTAATTGAGTATGAAAAGATTAATGCATAAAGTGACTGACTGAAGGGCCTACTGATTCAGGAAAGAGTAAAACTGGAAGTGTACAAAGTCCTTTTTGCCCACAGTTGCCAACCTACTCTTCAGGCAGGAACTAAGTCCAAGAAGACCTCTAGACAGTGCACCACTCTTGAATAGACAAATGCTACCCTATCCAGATTTAAAATGGAATCTCCCTGGATCTAGATAGCTACTTTGATCTTGACTGAGCTGGCCACAGTTTCTCCACATCCAAGCAATGGAACGAAACCTTGTCATCTTTATTTGGCAGGCCTGGGGTCAAAAATTAAAATTGGGCATCTTTAGCATTCTGCTGATATCATGGGGGGAGATTTGGGGTTTGCTATCATGTAGATGGTGAATGGGGGGAGGATCAAGTTCTGTGATACCCCACAAAGGAGGAGTCTAGGTAGCAATATCCCCCTATCCCTTTAATCAAGGGAATTATGAAGGAATTATGAATGAAGGAAGAGAACTGCAGTAAAGCAATTTCAAAGTCCTGGAGCTTAGCTAGAAGGACACCATGTTTATGGTTTCAAAAATTGCTGGAGAGATTAAGGACCATAAGGATGGATGTACCACCCCCATCCTGGCTCTGCCACAGATCTTCAGCCAATACAACAGAATCTGTCTATTCTAAATTTCAGCCTGAAATCTGTCTGAAACAGGTCTAAATAATCTGCTGCCTGCAGACTTCTTGATGGCTGTTGTGTGACAACCTTCTCAACAACCTTCCCTTTTGTAACTATTTTGTATTAAGATGCATTGGACAAAATATTTTTTTAAATGCTTCAAGGAACTTCATATTTATTTACCCCTAAATGTGGAACATAGCTTAAGAAACATACTCTCCAAGTTTGTTTATCTATGCTTGAGGAGGCTAACTCATGTAAGATGAAGCTTATGTAGGCTAACCTTATATCTACAAGTTTTCCCTATTTCCCCTAAGATTGGCCAGAGTCTAATCAAACTATATATCAAAATGGGAAATCTATCTAGACATTTTGGGAAGGTTCCTTTAACTCAGCCAGGCAAAGTCAGTGGTTACATAATTTCTGTGATTGCAATATGGCTGTAGAGAGCAACAGCTCAGGAACTGTACAGTCCTATGAAAGCCAGCCTTTCATTGGAGGAGTAATTTGAGGCTCTCCAGATGTTGCTGAAGTATAGTTCCTAGCATTCCTCACAATTAGCCTTATTGGCTGTTGCTGCTGGGAGTTCTGTTTTAACAAAATCAAGAGAGCCACAGGTTTTCTGTCTCCACAGGTTTTAGACAGCTTGCTATAGTTTGTGTTGTGCTTTCATGTCTTGGAGCATGAATAAGTCAAAAGAAACACAATACAACCTCTGAAATTTAGTTTTAGCTCATCCCTGGTGGAATATTAAAATGCGCCCTTTGAACCTCAGTCTCTATATTTAAAAGAAATATAACCTGTTGATTTCAATAAAGCTTGCCGCTATTCTTCATAAGGTAAAACCATGGAGTCGGAAATACAATTCATACAATCCTGAAACTCATTCAGGATTGTATGAATTGTATAAATCAAACAAAAAAGGACTGCATCGTGAAAAAGTTTGTAGAAGTTTATAAAAATGATTTCTTTATTAGGACATTTCTATGCTGGAGGAATTCAGTGTAGCTATTGTGGTTGTTTTTAGCTTCACAAGTCTGCGGGATAGGTGGTGGAAATGCAGTGGCTGGTCCTATGTTATCTAATGGTTGCCTCTGCACTCATCTGGGGTAATTATTTACCCACATATGTTGGCAGCACAACACCACCAATGCCCTGTCAGATGGGAACTTGGCATTGTCTACATCTTTTCCCTTAATGGATGGGAGGTTATTATATGCTTCTGTTCTACTTGCCTTTATTTTTGAGGGGAAATAAATAATGGAGATTTCAGGTGTGCATT